GTAGCAGGAACATTTGCAAAGACCTCCAAAGCTTAAGGTGGAAAGAGAGCTTACCCTGTAAGTGGAGGAGGGTCAGGGTGGCTGGAGCACAGCATGAGGGGATAAGCACAAGGAAGGAGGAGATGAGGCTGGATATGAGAGCATGTGGAGCCAGATCATGTGACGCCACGAAGGCTAGGGTAAGCCTTTGGGTCTCTATTCTAACAACAAGGAGAAGACCCTAAATTTTAAGCAGGGATAGGTAATGTAATGGACTTCATTTTCAAAAAGATCATTCTAGGGGTCAGCAGGTGTCATAATGGTTAAGGCTCTGAACTCCCACATGGTCAAAAGTGGCTCCTGTCCCGGACTGGGCATCTTGAAACTCATGCCAGGTACGTGTGTACGCATGCCTAAAATTCCGAGAGGAGGTTGGAGGAGAATGGAGTTTATGTGGCCATCCCCCTTGGGGGATGATTTCTCTCTCTCTCTCTCTCTCCAGTGAGCATATGTACTGTACAGTAAAAATCTCACAAATTTCCAGAAAAGCGATCAGACCATTTAGATTTGCAGAAAGAAAGTAAATACATGGTAGGATTGGGGTAATTTGTGAATAGGTGTGTGTGTGTTTCATGTGTGTGTGTCTGTGTGTGATAAACTGCCCCCATTGGCTTCTCTTCCAAATAAATCATATGATTTAATTTAAGGAACATGTTTAAATGTATAAAATAAAGAATATCAGGATTTAGAGGAAATTTCCATAAAGAACAGAGTTTAAAATAAATTTAATTGGTTAAGTTTTGTTTGGAAAACAAATGAGGTAAGTGCCAACTGACATATCACACGTAGGTTTAATGCTGACCTTCATTCTGAAATGTCACATATGTGATGGTGGCACACCTTCAGGGAGATTTCTAAGAAACTCTGTGCCATGATAACAGGGGTGGGAATGAAGCTGAGGTTATGGGAAGAGCAAAGCTCCTCTCCTCTCTCTACCACCATGTGGGAGCATATGACCTTTGTGTCTGCAAAGTCGGAGTCCTGAACAAACAGGCTTATTCATAACATTCTTCAGATATGATGAAACATCTTTTTCTGGTTCATTTCAGTGAAATATTACTAACAACCAGAATCCCGGGCTCCATTTTTCAGGGCAGTTTCTGTTCTGCACTATTTAGGCTACAATAGTAAAATGGCTCCCAAGAAATGATGGAACCTATTTTCCACATCTCTTCTTTAATGCACTTGATGGTTGATGGTGCAAAGTTTGAAATGTTAGGAAAGACACAGCCAGGACAAAAAAGAAAAAAAGTGAAAAATCATGAAAATGTTTCTTTGTAAATCTATTTTTCTTTATAATTTGAAAGTCAAAATTTGTTCAGAGCATCACTAAAAATCATTCTAACCAGTCTGAATCACTTACATAGTATTTGCATGCTAAGGATGACTATATAAAGATCACTATTTTCATATACTGTATACAGTGGACATTTCCTGGCAGAAGGCTGGGATCCGAGTCACATTAGGTTTGAGCATGACTTCTCTTCCCTTCTTCCTGCCTCTTCTGACCTACCTTCACTCAAAAGTTATCAACCATTGGGAACCAGCAGTTAGCGTAATGGCTATGTCGCTGGACTCCCACGTAGTCGACCGCGGTTTGTGTCCCGGACCCGGTGGCTTAAAACTCACGCTGGGCGCGTGTGCGTGCGTGCCCAAGATCCCGAGAGGAGAATGGAGGAGAAGGGATTGCGGCGTGACCATCCCCCCTGGGGGGTGATTTCTCGCTTTCTGTCTCTATGTCTCTCTCTGTCTGTCTGGCGAGCGCACGCGCCCTACAGTGAAAATCTCTCCAAAAAAAAAAAAAGTTATCAACCACTCTCTGACGGTGTATAAAAATGAGTGACTTTATTTATAATCATAGTAGCTATATTATTATATATATAATAATTGCTACAAGATATAGGAAATTAGTAGTATGAAACCAACACTTTTATTCACTTCAGTTTAAGAGGCCAAATGCAAAATAGGAAAAAAAAAAATCCCACCCTAAAATGCAAATAAATATCCTCTCCCCCATTCTTATGCTCCTCACCTCTATCTCACAGTGTTTCCATAAGTCTTCAGACTCAGGGTGGGGGGCACGCGTGCTTCTTTGCATTTCTTAGTGGAAGGGGTTATCACTTCTATTCACAGCTGAGAGGTGGGAAGGAGTTGGAACTGCTGTAGAAAACGTTGACATTTAAATGTATAGTTATAGTTCTCCAAGGGGTAGACTATTGTTATGTATACAAGAGTATTTCAAAAAGTTCATAGAAAGTGGAATTAAAGTATAAGTTTATTTTGATGCAAGAAATTCTAAGTTTTTCATAATAGTTTTTTCATAATACACATTTTCAGTCAATATATTTTCTTTTTTTTTAGAGAGATGTTTTTACTATAGGGTGTGTGCACTCACTGGATAGACAGAAACAGAAAGTGAGAAATCACCCCCAAGGGGATGGCCACACCACAATCCCTTCTCCTCCATTATCCTCTTGGGATTTTGGGTACGTACACACACATGCCCAGTGTGAGTTTTTTAAGTTGTCAGGTCCAGGACCTGAACCACAGTTGATTATGTGGGAGTCCAGTGACATAACCATTATGCTATCTTCTTTTTCCAACTTTTTGAAGTTCTCTCATATGGTATGTATAAACTATCAGCAAAGTAATTACTTAAGTATGTTGCACACCAAAGAGGTAAAAATAACAAGCTTGGTTTAAACAAACTGTAACTTTAAATTTATTTACATTAGGCATTTAAAATTTCAATCCTGAAGTTTTATTTCAATGTTTGGAAATAACTAATATACTACTCCCTCTCATGTGTAATGGTTGTGTCTCTGTAACTGGTGTATATTTAAATTTTGCATGATATCAGTTTAAAATATCATCATGAAATAAAATACAGGTTGAGTATACTTTATCCAAAATACTCGGAACTAGGTGTGTTTCTGATTTTGGGTTTGAGAGTATCTTCATATGCATAATGAGATATTTGGGGAATGGGACCCAAGTCTAACATAAAATTAATTTTTGTTTCATATACACCTTATACCCATACCCTGAAAGTAATTTATACAGTATTTTTATATTACATTGTTTTGACTGTGACCAGTCACATGAGGTCAGGTGTGGAATTTCCTACTTGTAGTGTCATGTTGATGTTCAAAAACTTCTAGATTTTGGCAAAGCTGTAGAAAGGCAGGTGGGAGGTGCCAATGAATGACACTGGAGCCACATGGGAGGTTTGAGTTTGAATCCTGGGTTGATTTGAACATGCTGGCTGTGCACCTGTGGTCTTGTCTGGCTGAGAGGCTGGGAAGAGGACTGCAGCATGAAAAGACCCTGTCAAGGATACATGTATCTCTCTCTCTCCTTCTCATAAGAAATAAATAAGTAAACTTAAAAAAAAAAAAGGTGTCTGATTTTGAAGCACTTAAATGTTAACGTCCATGTTTTCTCTGGATTTGCCAATTGTAGGGTATATACTTTTCCCCAGGATGCTGACAGATGTGCATTGGTGGGTTTACATCTTCTTCACATGAATCTCTTGCAATACACAAATGTGTGTGTGTGTGTATACACACACACAGACACCTTTTAAAAAAACATGCAACTGAGCTCAACAGAGAGGCCTGTCGTTGGACAAAGCTAACTAGCATGGGGAAATGTAGGCTCATTAGCATTTTGCTCAAATCCCAAATCACTCTCTGTTTTCTTTCTTCTTTTTTTCTTTTTTTAAGAGATATTTGCTATAGGGCGTGTGCACTTGCCGGAGAGACAGAGAAACAGAAAGTGAGAAAGCAACCCCCAGGGGGATGGCCATGCCGCATTCCTTTCTCCTTCATTCTCCTCTCGGGATTTGGGGCATACATGCACACATGCCTGGCCTGCGTTTTAAGCCGCCGGGTCTGGGACTTGAACTACGGCCGGCTACATGGGAGTCCAATGATGTAAAGCACTACGCCATCTGCTGGTCCCTATTTTCATCCATTTCATAAATGATTTAGGAACTCAGAGAAGGGGCTATAGCTATTATGTGAGACAAAATACTAATGCTTTTGCAGCACAGATGCTCTTACAGATCCATGAAGTGACTTATAAGGCAATAATGTCACATTTCAAGGAACTGGCAATCTCTTTCAGCCTTCAAGCCTTCTGTTCTAAGTAATTTCTCCCAACTTAATAGAGGTGAGTCAAATGTCGACACTATTTTCTGGTATGGTACTGCAGTAGCCTAAGTACGAGGAGATTAAAAAAATAGTAATTTGCATGGTAGTATCATTTAGTTTTGATGAAAACAAGAAATTAATCTTACAACTGCAAAATATCCATAGTCACAGCAAAGGATCAGCACCGTGACTGACTCTACTTTCTAAGATTAAATCCACATAAATCAATCATACAAAAAAAGCTTTTATTACTTATAAAGTGTCTTCATTAATTTAAATAACACATTTAATAATTTTGGTGAAAATATCTGATTATTAATAAAAAAAAAGAGAAAACCAGGAAAAGAAATAGCATAAAAATCTGATTATTAAAAAGGGTTCATCTTAAATATTCGAGTGACACAGGTTTCTGGAAACATGTTCCTTACATGAACCCATTAATTAATAACCACAAGGACTGAAGTCAACCTGAAAGCAAGTATGAGAGGTTTATCTTATCTTTCAAGCCACCCAATAAAAGCAGCATGAGTTTTGGAGCCTGAATGACCTGGCTTTAAATCGTTGCTGGATCACTTGCTAGCTGTGACGTCTTAGGGAAATCACTTAACCTTCGTCATATTTTTTTTACCCTCTGAAAACGAGGTTAATAGCACCTACCTTGCAGAGATGACAAGAGTCCAGGCCATGGTTGACCCTTAATAAATGGTAATCATTTTTGTTATTATAGAGAGGAAATAGGAAGACACTGATTATTTATGTAGTTCACATTCACAAAGCTTGGTATTCGTTACACGATGCTTGTGAGTAATGATCATAAGATAAAATAATCTCTTATTTCTTAGCAAAACCTCTGATGAGAGTCATGCAATTATTTCTCTAAGTCTTCTACCTGTAATAACATTTAATATTCACAACAAACTTATGAAGTACGATTTATTTTCCCTGTCTTACAAAAACGGAAACTGAGGCACACAGAAGTTAACTAATTTGTTCAAGGTCATACAACATATGACAGCAGAGTTTATTCTCCTAACTACTTCATCAAGAGCCTGGAAATAAGATAATAGCTGTTCATTCAACAAATAAACAAAGTGCTACATTCTGTACTAGTTACTAGTATCTAAACCTTTATCAAAACACAGTACCGATAACCTTTTTTTACAATATGGTGATTAAAAGCAATTTTATTACCCCAAAGTTATTGCTCAGAGGCCATCATTCCCTGGATTAAAAAAAAGGTTTCATTTGAATTACTGTTATTCAATAATCATAAAAATTACAGCACAACTATACTTTCTTTATAGAACGAATCGAGGTTTCTACATCTTCTGAATAAATGTGAATAAAAATTGTCACTACATTGTGTTGACTTTCCTGTTAAGATCTTGCAAGGACAGAGACAGAAATGATTAGATCGTTGGAAAAGTCATGTGTGTTTTTCTATGTTCTTCTATGCAAAAATGCGTCATGACTTTTCCAACAACCCACTATTTTTATGTAATTGCTATAGTGTTTCTAACATTATTGTCAAATGAGTGGAGGCATTTCTAGTCATTAAGAATACAAAGAGTTGGTCATAAGGCAGATCAATTTTAAAGGCGACTCAAACAAGAAGCATAAGAAACTAGATACATAAGAACAAATGACAAGGCTATTGCCAGGTTCACATGGATTTCCTGCCTCTATTTTTTTTTTTTAATTTTCCTTCTTCTTCCTCCTCGAATAGCCTCAATCATTATTTTCTACTCTCTCAAATGCACCAATAATAAGTAGATAAGGCTTCTGATTACACAAAAATATGTTGAGCTTGAAAAACAGAGTTACTTTCATCTACTATAGAAGGACTAGTTATATGCTTTCAAAACCAAAAAATAATTATGGATAATGTGTAATTTATATGATATACATAAAACAAAATGATGTTTAAATGTTATCCTTATTTCAATTTTAACCATTTTTGTTTCAAGGAACTGTACTACTAAATAATTATGTAAATTAAAATTGGACCAATGATCAAATAGCAGTAGGTTCTGCCTTTTCTCATTTTTAAAGGGGAAACAGGCTGTTCAGAAGCCAAGTTGGTTAATAAAAGGAATGGAACGACATCCAGTTCAGCTTGGGTGAAGGTTATTCTGAAAAGCAATGACTGTTTTTCTCGTCCTTTTGCAATCAACAATGGAAAGCAAAGGATAGTTAGCAACATGGAAACAGAATGGGAAAGGTGCTGGAAATGATCTTTAAAAAGGCACCTGGCATGTAATTACAGAAAACTGTTGGTTTTGCAAATACTGTCAATCTAGAGATGAATGACATTTCCTTGTTTCCCTGTACAAAAGGGGACTGCTCGCAGCAAACCATACAGTGCTCACCTGATTCTGTCCGTCTTCTGGCAACCCTTAGTAGACGGCTGAACCTTGCAGGTGTTCTCCCAAGATCTGGTTACTTCCAGACCCTCCTTTTCATTGATTGTCTGCAATTCCCTTAGTTAAAAGCATGCATCCTCTGTATGTTTGAAGTTTAGTTCGCTTTTCAAGTGCTGTGATGGTGACAGTGCTGCAGTGGGATTTGGATTTTTTAAAAGAAGTCTGAAGGTCCATTGCAGAAAGGTTTCAGGTACACTGACTCTCTCATAGCCTATGTGTACAGAACACTTTGACATTTGCTTTTTAATTTCATTTGCTGGCTTGAAACTTCTTGGAGAAAGAAAACCATAGAGAAGTATCTTTTAAAAGTATTGCCTGATAACTGGCATTTAATTCAGATAATAAATTACTGGGGTTGATATCTAACATTCTAAACACGGCATTTACCTCCTTGATTCAGTCATTATGGAATGAAATCAATGATTTTCATGGCTTAAAAAAATACACTTTGTGATTCATTTCACTTTCTTAGATTCTCCGACTTAACTTTATTTGTGCGGTTTATTCAAACAGTGGTTTTCCTTATGAAATCCTGTAAGTAGGAACCATCTGGAAAGGTTACTGTGGAAGGGACAGGGGCTGGGAGGGTGGGGCTAGAGTTCAAGAGATGCCATGACAACCTTTTTCGGGTTTCCCAGGAAACATGGGTTGCTATGGGAACTGCATCAGTCAGGTCCGAATTAGTAACTTCCGCTGGAAGGGGTGTCTGCCACTTTAATCTTCTTGTGATACTGCAGAAGCTTATCTCTCAGATGCATCAGGAAATTTTTTTTTTTGTTTCTCTCAGCAGCACTGAAACATCTGCTTCTCGACTTTGATAGATGTTGGCTGAGACATATGCACACAACTTCGTGGGAATCTGTTAGTCTAATACTTTGGAAATGCTTAGCAAGCTCCAAAGCATTAAACTAATTAGTCAGCATTAAACTAATTACACCTTGAGCATTTCCCTTTGTTCAAAGTTGTAGAGACCCTCTCAAGGGGGTGGGGGGAGGGTGAGGTTGCAATTCAGATAAAACTTCCAGCCAAAAACCAAATAAACTACGGTAGATTTATAAGTCATTGTCCTAGTTAGATTTTTCATTCACAGTAGCACAGTTGAACATTCAATAAATAATGTTGAAGAGTCCATCAAACTGAAGCAGCCTTTAAGTATTTGCCTGCTTTACTTAGTAAAGAAACAACCCCTTTTAATTTTGAGGTTAAACAGTTACTCTAACCATTCTTTAGTTTCATTTCCTCCCAGGATGTACTGTTTTTCACGGGGCGTGTACTAGAAATGAAGTTTAATGTAAGTTTGTTGTTTGCAATATTAAGAGAGAGGGAGAAAAAAAAAAGGGCTGAGAGAATGCAGCCCACTTGCAAAACAGGCACCTGTTTCAGTATGAAGCAGTAGGGACAGGGAGAATGAAGTGTGTGCTTCCCACTTCATGGCCTTTTCTGATGGATGGTCTGGAAATGTATAAAACAAGGGCATACACAGACCAAGGGGGCACGTTCCACGCAAACTGAGTACAGTATGTCACTTGTATCATACATTAAACATCGGTGAATATCTTTTTGATGTTGACACAAGAGTTGGGATTATTGTTCGTGGTGCAGGTGGCAGTGGAATTGCCCGTTTTGAATGGGGTCTGGGGGAAAGCGCTATGGTTCATACCCGCCTCTTCGATCACCATGTACTCCGACTTACTCAGAGTTGAGTTACTCCTGGCTTTTCGGAGCTCGTCGGCTGAAGAAGAGAGATGCTGGCAACTCCCCACGTGCATGTACTGGGCTTGCTCTTCCCCTTCTGTCTCCCGATGGTAGAAGTAATTGAAGTTGGAAACAATCACAGGAACTGGCAAAGCAATGGTCAGGACACCGGCGATGGCACAGAGAGATCCCACAATCTTGCCCCCTATGGTCACTGGGTGCATATCACCATAGCCTACCGTTGTCATGGTTACCACTGCCCACCAGAAGGCATCCGGGATACTGCTGAAACCTGAAGTGGGGTCGTCTGCCTCAGCAAAGTAGACGGCGCTGGAGAAAAGGATGACTCCAATAAAGAGGAAAAAGATAAGCAAGCCCAATTCCCGCATGGAAGCCTTCAGCGTCTGCCCGAGGATCTGCAGCCCCTTGGAGTGGCGGGAGAGCTTGAAGATACGGAAGACCCTCACCAGGCGGATGACCCTCAAGATGGCCAGGGACATGGCCTGCTGTCCGTTTCCCTGTCGCTCAGCCAGCTCGGTGCCCAGAGTGATGAAATACGGGATGATGGCCACGATGTCTATCAGGTTCATGATATTTCGTGAGAAGGTGGCTTTGCTGGGGCAAGCGAAGAAGCGCACCAGCAGCTCAAAGGAGAACCAGATGATGCACAGGGTCTCCACCACGAAGAAGGGATCCAGAGTTGAGTTACTCCTGGCTTTTCGGAGCTCGTCGGCTGAAGAAGAGAGATGCTGGCAACTCCCCACGTGCATGTACTGGGCTTGCTCTTCCCCTTCTGTCTCCCGATGGTAGAAGTAATTGAAGTTGGAAACAATCACAGGAACTGGCAAAGCAATGGTCAGGACACCGGCGATGGCACAGAGAGATCCCACAATCTTGCCCCCTATGGTCACTGGGTGCATATCACCATAGCCTACCGTTGTCATGGTTACCACTGCCCACCAGAAGGCATCCGGGATACTGCTGAAACCTGAAGTGGGGTCGTCTGCCTCAGCAAAGTAGACGGCGCTGGAGAAAAGGATGACTCCAATAAAGAGGAAAAAGATAAGCAAGCCCAATTCCCGCATGGAAGCCTTCAGCGTCTGCCCGAGGATCTGCAGCCCCTTGGAGTGGCGGGAGAGCTTGAAGATACGGAAGACCCTCACCAGGCGGATGACCCTCAAGATGGCCAGGGACATGGCCTGCTGTCCGTTTCCCTGTCGCTCAGCCAGCTCGGTGCCCAGAGTGATGAAATACGGGATGATGGCCACGATGTCTATCAGGTTCATGATATTTCGTGAGAAGGTGGCTTTGCTGGGGCAAGCGAAGAAGCGCACCAGCAGCTCAAAGGAGAACCAGATGATGCACAGGGTCTCCACCACGAAGAAGGGATCAGAGAAGCTGGAGGCTCCGGCCGGGGTCCCCGACGTGCTGTTGCCAGCCGCCTCGAACACATCCTGAGACGGGGAGGCGGGGTAGTCCTTCTCGTCGCGGAACTCGGGCAGCGTCTCCAGGCAGAAGATGACAATGGAGATGAGGATGACGAGCACGGACACGATGGCGATGCCTCGGGCCGGTCCGGAGCTCTCGGGGTACTCGAAGAGCAGCCACACCAAGTCGCGGCGGGGCAGGGGCCGCTCCTCCTCCCGCAGGAAGCCCTCGTCCTCGCGGAACTTCTCCATGGCCTCCTCGCCCAGCTGGTAGAAGCGGATCTCCTCGGAGAAGATGTCGATGGGCACGTTGACCGGCCGGCGGATGCGGCCCCCGGACTGGTAGTAGTAGAGGATGGCGTCGAAGCTGGGCCGGTTGCGGTCGAAGAAGTACTCGTTGCGGAGCGGGTCGCAGTACCTCATGCGCCGCTTGGGGACGCCCCGCCGGGTCTCCGGGAA